AAGTTTGGTATTTACAGGCGGATTTCACATTTCAATATAAAACTGCATACTTGTTAATACTTCAATCTGGACATCAAGTTTAAAAAAAAATTAGTGTAGAAGTATTTGACTTCTAGTTGCAGGCACTGATATTAATTAAAAAAATGAAAAGATGATCCATGGTACCAGGATTAAAAATAATTTCCATTAAAAACGCCATTGAAATCAAAGTTATAAAAATACATATACACTGGCATGCAAAACAATGTCCAGTGCAGCATTACTCTCCTGGCAGTCCACAGTGAGAGACTTGAAAAAGTTAAGTGCAGCATATACAGATGTCAGTAAAAGCAGCCTTGAAATAACATCTTGGCCTCACGATCTCTCCCACAGAGGAGGAATACCTTTCAGTCTAGCATTAGGAGATTAGACCTGCCACCCATTTCAGTGCATGCACTGCCAGAGCCACAAAGCATGGTAGACCTTCCTAAAGAAGTTGCAAAAAAAATCACTCCGAAGCACAGACTGACTACTCCGCATCAGCTTGCTTAACTAGATCAGACATTTGGCTTCAATACTTGTTGCCCAGATGCTCTTTAGAGTAAGTATCAGTGAGGTCAAAATATTGCTCTTCATTTACCATTTGGGATTTAGGATTTAGGCTGCAAATGCTGAAATTAACAGTCTTATTTACTCGTAATGGTAAACATTCATATTTAATATTTGATTTAGGACACAAGTGACCTGCTGTTGCCTTCCTCTATTAAGATTTTGCTCAGCCACAACAGAAAGGTTCCTCCAAGAGAACACAATTTTCTTTGGCCTCATTTTCATTCAGTGCTTCCATTTTCACCATGTACTTAATTCTTCAGTCTTAACTAAAACATTCTAGTAACTTTCTAGTGACAAAATGAAGTGTGGGGTTAAGTCTAGAATCTTTGTAGCTGACAAGTAAATGCACAACTAGTGTCATATGACACAACATGAAGCATAGCATTTAAAAACTGTATTAAGTCTCTGCAGAAACAAGGTAACATTCTAAAGGAAAACAGGGGCCTTTGAAAATAAAGAGGCATAAGGCCTTTTACCTTGTAGAGCCTTCCAACAGCTTTAAGATTAGATACTATAAATTTTCTATGCGGTAAATCCAAGACCTCTATTACCATTTAGCTGTAGTTACTGTGAAAAAATGCAAAACTTTTAATTGTTCCTTTGAGGTTAGTTGAAATTTCTGTACTTACTAACCATTTTATACACTGAGTTATGCTACCTAATTGCATGTCCATGCATCTTGGTGGCATTTTTGTTCGTAGAGTTTGACTTTAAAACCCAGGTAAGCACGCATCTCTATTCACACATCCTCCAGTACCTGCAACTCAAAGAAGGTGAAGAACAACTGCCATAGAAATTAATTTTCCAAAGCATGTCCTTCTGTACAAGGATGTTCTCTTATACCGATACTACCTGGTTTTCCCCCCATTACTTTATCTGTTGATTCTTAAGCAAGAGAAGTCTGGAAGAGGGAAAACGTGCAGCTAAAAATACCTCAAAACCTGGCAAATCCTATAGCTTGAGAAGGTATCAAAAGAGGACAGGTGCTGTTGCAGAACATCGCCTGAAAAGTGGAAGAATAGACTTGTTATAATCTATTCTCCTTTTCCTAATCAACTTCTCTAAGCTCAGAAATAGCCCAAGTGTCATGTTTGGACTTCCCTGAACGTACTGGAAGACTTGGATTTATCACTACCTTAATACTTTGCCTAAAGGGACTTCCATAATAAAAGTGCAGTGCTTAAATAATCGTTAACAAATTTGTTTACATGTCAGGTGGAATTCAAAGTTATTTAAACTACTTAAAGGAATTAGTCCTTCAAAAATAGATTAATTTATACCAAAACAATAAAAATCAAAATACAGTCCTGAACTCGTTTAGACCAGTCAGTCCTGTGCAGGGAATGTAGGGAAAAAGCTGTGGATAGGAAAAAGGACTCAAGCTAACAAGTCACATTACTGGAGTGAGAGAGGAAGATCTGAAATGAGGAAGAAAGAAAGAAAGAAACATTGATTCTTTGTCAAAGGCACCTTTCCTTCCAAAATCTCTCAGAAATTAAGTAGGTAGTAGGCAAAAAGCAAGACAAAATGTTTAAGAATCCTGAATAACTACTAACCTTTCAGTCATGCTCTACCTGCTTTTCCACTTCTGCAAGATGCTTTCCTCCCCCCTCGCCCCCCAGGTGCTGATAAAGGTGTCCATGAAAAAAAAGCATTTGCCAGCTCCTGTTTTAAAGAAACTTACTAAAGAAGTGAGCAGATACTCCTTTGAAGTTTACATAATATACATGGAAGTCAGGACTATCAGGGTTGCTATTTTACTTTAAAAGTCACTTTTAAGCATATCAAGTAGCTGTAGGAAGCATTGCTCACAACCATAGCAATATGCTCCCTCTAGTTTCACTGTCACCTCACATTTCAAAGGCATTTATTGCTATATTTTAGTTTTTAATAAGCCTTCTAGACTCATGTAAGGATTAAATGGATCCAAAGTAAGACCATCCCCACTCAGATCAGATTGCTGACCAGAAGGTCAACCATTCAGTTCTGCGGAACGATGAAACAGCAATAGCCAGAAGCGTTGATCTTAATGTTAGCAATATCCAGGTGCCTATTTTTCACTGTGATCAGTGTGATGTCTGGAGAATAAGACAGCATGAGCTCTCACCAAAAGCTCTGTGAAGCTCAGCTACACACACGATCAATTACCTGTTCTGAATGCAATATTATATAACTACGGTTCACTTACGAGCTTTCAGAATAAATACCTACGGCAACAGAAACTGTCACTTAACATTATTTTGAAGTCTTCTTCAGCATCCAAAGTTTATTCCTATGCTTCAGATTGCAGCAATAGGTTATATCTCCTATATAGTGAGCTTCCTGAGCCAAGTTCACTATCAGAATCAAACTGCACTATATTGTTTTATTTTCCTGAATTAAACATTCACATTGGATACCTAACTGTAACTTAAAAACTGGTCTTATTAATTCTATTAGTAGTGATACATCTTGAACTAATAGAAAGTGGGTCCAGTATTGCTGGACCTGTCATATTTTGTAAGATATTTCCTATGAATATTTTGAGATCTGAATCTATGAAGTCAAATATTTTTCTTTAGGCCAATTCACACAGTTAAGTCTTTGTCCCCATTAGTTACGAAAACTTGGCATGAAAAAACAAAGGTTGCAGAACCAGTAGCACTGAAACACTATACTGCAATGAAACCTGTAGAATCATGCAAGGCGTTCTCAGACATCCCAAACACATGCAGTAGGTACTAGCTGGTGTACACAAATGTTTCCCTAGTATCAGTAAATGCAATTTAATAAACAAATAAATAATTTAAAAGGCATTCAACATAGTAAGACTGTTTATCACCAGCTTAAATTCTTGATTTTCTGCATTGTTGACAGTTTGTTTCCCCATATGGTAGGTTTGCTACATATTAAATATTTAGTTAAGCTTTTCCATTTATAAATGCTTATTATATGCCAAAGCTGTACACAAATTCAAGAGAAAAAGAACAGTAACATAAAACCAGCTAGTATTAGTTAAAAAACCCACTGACCTCTGCAAAGTGTAGTATTAACTTTTTAAAAAAGCTGCTGCATATAAATTCCCATTCTTATTTTGCAATTACACAAAACATCTGAAAAACTGTCATTCTACTTTGTTTTGCAATGGTTTTATACTTGGAATCTATCCCTCCATTTAAGCAAAACTTGTAAAGTTAATGCTTTGCTCCTCCTTACTATAGCTGTTTTATTATACAGAAAATCTATTTCTGAAGCAAAGAGATATTAGTTATTACTATATGCCAGGTTAACACAGATTAGAGTGGCAAAAGATGACAATCTGACAGAGCAGAAATTTCAAGATTAACAGTTTAAGTAGATCTTTTCTTCCAAAAGAGCCTAAGTTCTTTAGTATAGCTAAGTACCTTTGAAGAGGCACCAAAAACAAATAGCCCTTTCAACTGAACTTTAAAAAAAAATTTAATTTTCATTTCAAAAGGGATCTTGAAATTACTAGATACACATACATCCCTCTTCCATGGCCCTGTAAGATACATTCAGTAATTTAAAATAAAGATTCCATATTTTATAACTTCATATATATTATATATTTAATATATAATATATATTTATATGTACATTACACTGATACATACACTCTCAGTCAGCAGGATTAAACTTTTTGTTTTGAAATGTTTGATTGGTGTCACTAATCTTCTTTTATTATTCCGTGAATTCAATGGAATTTATCTATTACCTGAAAAGAAGAAATTTAAAAGATCCAAATGGAATCTGTGGATCAATATTAGCACCAATACAGATGGCCATTACTTCAAAATGACTGCAGGGACTGAAATAATATATTTATAATTTTCCTCTTACTGCACAAGCATTCCTGCAAAATATTTAGGCAGCAATACCTGCCAGGTCCATATATCTATTCCTGTTAAATTTAAATTTTATACAACTTTCCTTACTGTAATATACAGTATCTCTTTTGTCCTGTTGGATTATTTCATTTTTCATAGAGAAAAGTGATCGATAGCTATCCAACAGATTTTTTTAAAATCCCCTCTCTCCTTCCATTGTATGGCTCAGTTTCAAGATTTAATTGATAGGCAGCCACCATCACTATAACCAGTACCCTTCTAACACAGTTCAGTCACTGACTGTTGATGCTTAAAACACAAAGTTTTGAGGTTGGCTTGCTGTTTATGGAACCAAGATATTCAGAGGTCGTATCTTTTCAGCACACTCACCACCACCTGCCACACAATAACATCAGTCAGACCCGATACTATAATTCAATTAGTTACCTACCATTTGGGTAACAAAAATTGCAAACCCAGTCACGATTTTAAACATTATAAGAATATTCACCCTGAGAACACAGAGGAAGTGTTTAAAAAAAATTGATATGTTTTCTCTTCATATATAGTTTTCTTCTCTTCTCTTCATCTCCTCTTGGGTAGCTGGGTTTGTATCTAGTATTTGACCTCACACTTGCTTTGTCAGTTGACCTGTTCACGCCACAGTCAGGTACTGGTGATAGAAAAGCCCAAAAAGGCTTGTAGAAAAGAGGCAAGCAGCAATCCACCAGGTGAGGAAAGACAGGAGTCCCCGGAACAGGAGAGGAGTGAAAATATTCTTTAGGTTTCCCAAAGCCATTGTTATTTGTACTACAGTTACTTTCATCTTTCCATCAGCAGGTGGAGACTCAGAATAAACTGAACTGGGAAGCAGACTGTTTTCTACTGGAGTGTCAGAATTCAATTCCGGGTAGATGCCCCAAGAGTAATTACCTGTTAAAAAGAAATGAGCAACAGATTTTTGTATAATTAAATTCAATTTTTGTTATTCCTATCACTCTATAGATCATCATATATATAGTTTTCACACACACACAAAAAAAAAATTGAAGTTCTTATAACTTAGTAAACACTAACTGTATTCATCTGCATGGCTTCCTGATCATACTAGTAAGCTATTAGGATAGGATTCATCTTACCTTTTGACATCCTAACATCTACCTGTGATACAGTTGCCTTGGGACCCCTGTCAGTGCTGGGTACGATTCATCTCACCAGATGTAGATGTCTACTCCAGAACGGGATGAATCACAGCCTAATAAAGCCTATCTCTTTCCGTTGACATTTTGCAAAAAGAATGCCATGACTGCATGGCAGGCTGTGAAAGACAGCCCTCACAAGAAAGAAAGAAAAAAAAAAAACAACCAAAACCAGAGTGACAGCAGATCTCCCAGTAATGAAATGAACCCCATACCTCACAATTTCCATTCAAAAATCCTACTTAAGATTGAAAAGCTGAAAAAAATTCCTTTAACAGATGCTCATAAGGTTAAATCAACAATGCTTTACACAATCACTTTTAAAATACTTTTAAAAAGACAAATATTTCAATAGAAGTAAACAGCTTAATTGGTTGTATTACACAATTTCTCAGAAATAAATCAAAAAAATTAGCATATCATTGAAAGATGTCAAAAGCAGCAACACAAGAGGACTGCTTAAAAGCAGCACATCAGTATGTTTTAAATTTCAGGAAACTACTATGTATTTCTGTATTGCAAGTACCTGTACGTTCTAATTCTCTTTAGTAAGCTGAAAATATAAAAGCTCTGTGTAGAACAGAACACATTTTTGTTGATCCAATTTTGCCTACCTAGTGTTTTCAAGAGCAGAGTTGTGTGAAGGAGCATTACCAATGGTGCAACATACTGCAGTGCAATTACACAAAGATAATAGAATACCCGGGCCACCTGGGAAAACAGAAGAGAGTAATTCATGAGTTCTGGCTGATCAAAGCAAACCTTTATGAACATGTCTAGGAAAAACAAGCAATTTATTAAAAAAGCAGTACTTATGCATTAATGCTGTTTTAAAAGTTTTCTAGCACATCTTGGCATGTGACATATTATCTTCAAAAGACCTAATGAAGAAATCCCTATAATGAACTCTACTTTCAGGACATTTACAAATCTGAGAGGAAGTGCTGAAAGGAAATAACTAAAAGCATCAGTTCTGTTAAAACAAACAGAATCAATTTGCTTCTGCAAACTACATGTCATCATTCAAAGATTCCTATTTCAATACACCAGAATCAAAGCTAAATATATATTTAATTTTTAAAGTCCACAGTGATTTACAAACTAAATCCCACTTCAAAAATGAAGTTGTAGTCACAGTCCAAAGCCTCATAAAAAGTAAATGAAAGTTTGGTTAATATTGCAGTCCTTTTTCAAAGGCAAGATATTTTTAAGATTTCCAACTATGAAAAACCACTATTTTAAAAACAGTGACAAGACGATTTTTCATTAACAGTTGATCTACAACAGCATTTAAATGGTCTTTATTTCAGGTATACATTATGGTTCAGTGAAATCCACTCAGATTTATCCCTCCCCCTGCTCCCAATCTGTTCCACCTTTCCCAACATTGTCACATTATGTATTTTATATAAGCTATTGACCTAAAAGACTAGACCAAATAAAGAAGGAAAAAAGTCATAAAATCAATAGCAAGCAAGCAATGAAATAAAACTAACTGGATTTTAGAAAAAACAGAATACAGAGTGGCAAAAAAGATAAAGGCAGACAAGACATTTTTGGAAATACCTCTAAAACCTCAAAGGGCTTCGTGATGAGCAAGCATCAAAAAACTAACACGAGAAGAAAAAGTAGTAAGACACTGACAGAAGAAAAAGCATGAGAAAAAATATTGTAAGGTTATTGATGGAATATGATAAAAAGAACAAATTAAGAAGTAATGATCACTGTAGGATGACAGATAGGGAAGACTTTACTGGCAGAAGTTCCAGAAGAAGATAAAGCAGACATGGCTAGTAAAACAAGACAGGACTTCATTTAATGGCTATGGCCTTCTCAAAGAGAAGATACGGAGATACTGGATAAATGGATTTAGGAAACACCACATGAAACATTATTGTTGTCTTATAATAAGATAAGATGAATGCTCCCAGAACTAAAATTATGTGTTCACAGCAACCAGCACAGTTCTATCCTAACCAGTTGCTTCTACCTGTATTTCCTAATCTTTTTTCTGAAGCAAACTGCTAGCCACTTTGTTCGTAAATAACTACTGCATAGTCCCCTTACAACCTTCAGATGTTCAGTGTAGCCAAGGGCAAGATTATAAGTAATAGTGACAATCCTAAGAGAGGAATCTGTCTTATAGCATACTTCAGTATTCCTCCTGCAATACACCCCAACTCAGCAGGACCATCAGGCAACACTAGAAATGTAAGCTTATTTTGCAGGCAACACACAACACCATTCTACAATAAGCTTAGGAATTTCTAATTCTTCAATTGGTTGATGGTATGTTTTATTACTTTTCTTACAAAAAAAAAAAGTCAAAGAAATTTTTCCTTTGCCACAGTAACAAGATGGGCAGACAGTTTCTTAACTAGGCTAGTGCACTTCAGAGTGGTCTGACAGAATTAAACGTCATTTTATCCCAAAATATAGCCACCTTATCTTGAAGTTTGCCTCAATTTAAAAATCATAGTTGGGATCAGGCAACAGTATTTTAACCTTCTATCTAAATTCAACTTCTTTTTTTTTCCCATGTTGTAGGTACAGATCGCCACTCACCCTGTGCCCTCCCCAAGATCTATTCATGCTGAACAGAAACACATCACATTTGTACATATCTGTAAAGAACAATTCATGAAGGGAACTTTTATAACAACTTCTGAATAACTTAAGACAAGCCATCTGCATAATATAGATGATACATCTCTGCATATTTTGGTTTGCAGAATTTCTCTGCAATGGTGCTACTTTTATAGGAGATAGAGTTTAGGAAGCTTCATTCAGATTTCAGGTCTAGTGCCACAGAAGACATAACAAACTGGAAAAAAAAAAACATTTGTACAGACAGAGCACTCCAAATATGTAACCTCAGTGCTACCATACTTACCATTTTCTGTAAATCAACCATACTTATTCTGCCAGCTTCTTTTTTCATCTGATCCACACTTTTCTGGGCTAAATTCAGATAGGCCTGTAAATGATGACGCATCATAGCCAACCGTAAAGCACACAACAGGATTATAATCCACAACCTCACGGTGTCAAATGTATCTTCTGATATTCTGTGGATTAAAAAAAAAAAAAAAAAAAGGGTAATGCTGTTTTCCAAAGGTCACTCTACTGGTACAGAGTTGTTTGTATCATCTGTAAAGAAATACTGAAGCATATTGTCAAAAATACTTAACGCACAATCTACAGTTAGGAAGTTCACGTGCAAGTAATATTCACTTTTGCCCTCTGCTTCTCTCTCTACTGCTACTTCTTAGTAGCCCTTTTACAGCATTAGATCCAAATTAGTATCCATTTGTCTGTAAACAAGAACAGCTCTTAAATGCTTAAATGCTGAGTAATGAAGAGAGGACACTGAAAAACAAGCTTGCTCAGATAATTACAGGTTTTGAGACACCCAGTTCTAGATAACAAATGTGTACATCAGTTACCTTAGATACTCTGCTAGAGCACAACCCTCACTTTAAAATAAAGTGAGAAACAAAATGGAAGTACAACATATGTATATTTGCAATGTTTTATGTAATAGTTCAGTGGTCATAGAATCACCTTAGAAGTATAACTTTGACTTAGAAAGCAATAAAAGTCTCAGCCAATTGTATCTGTTTCAAGTCTATTTGAGTACTACTGTTTTGAATTATCTAGACTAATAGTGACAATGACAATCACCTATGCTACTTACACAATATTTATTTCAGATACCACTCTTCCTGAAAATTTTTTCTCTTTTTATGGTTTAAACATTTTAGCTATCAATTCCATACACAATTCATCCACACATGGATCTTAAGACAAATTGCTGAGGTCAGTTCTCATACCAATGAATCTCAACTGTCCTCAGTGAAACCATTCCTCTCCTACACCAATATGTAAGATACAGGATTCCAGAAGGTAGCAGTGTGGTGGTATTCCACCCCTAGGAAGAACAACCCATCACTGCCAAGGAGATGCCAGAAGATAGCAGCTTTTTGGGAACCACCACCTTAACATTCAACACTCCGCAACTAATTCTCATTCTTCTGAAATAACAGAAGCTCTTTAGAGCTCAGCTGCAACTTCCACAATACCTTTGACAGCAGATGCTACTAAATTTTAAGTCTTTCACGTTTCTGTGACTTTCACAGGGCACTGCTTAGACTTATGTTTCGTTCTCCATACCCCAGAAAGAATTTTTAAAGGGAATCTTACAAAGGGACGCTCTCTTTGCCCAAAGGTGGGTTCATAATGTAGTCCTTAGTGATTGGTTTTACCCACAGTAGAACCATAAATAAAGGTGCCAAGAAGTTTATATGTAGCAATGTTCTGAAAGAAGAAAAAAAAAAAGGGGGGGAAGTTATTAAATATAAAGAATTACTATACTGTTGAAACAGGGGGTACAGATTCAAAAGGAGAAATCCAGATTTTAAAATAGTTGGGAGAAAGGTAAATAGGAAAATTACTTCCCTATTTTATAGGTATGACTTATATTTCAACAAAACAGTAAAATTACATACTGTGAAATCATACAGGTTGTGGCTTAAAAAAAGTGCTCTCAGAATACCTGAAAACTTGATTTATTCAAAAAAATCTAACCAAAGGAGCTACCTGCATTATGTCACACTATAGTAAAAGACAGTTGTTGAAAATTTCCATACGACAGATAATTATGGGAAATATGCTGCTATATTACTATTTTTTTGGTCTATTAAAAATGTACCCAGATTCATTTCCATTATCTATACAGACCAGGGGAAACAGTTTTGAGAGGTCAGATTTCCCAGTTTAATGAAGATTTTTACTTAGGAACCTTGACTAAATGAAACTTGGTACTTACATTCTATTAAAGATTCTCAGACAATTAAAAAAAAAAAAGCCAGCACAGATACTCCACTTTAAAAGCATTGTATGAAACCGCACAGTTAACGTAAAAGTAGTAGTCTTTTGAAATCTTTGGGTACAAAACAGACAACAGACTTTAAGAGGAGATAGTTTTCTGGAGTTTTTCCTGCAATTAATATCCTTCTTCATTTCTGAACCCCATATGCCAATCATTTTTCACTACTAAAATGAAATGAAAACAGTTGAAGACTTCAGTGCTGCAGAACTGGTGGTTTTGCTAGTGCAATGCATCCTCACTAACAGAATCAGCTTGTCTATACTTCCATCTCCAACCGGAGTGCTTCTACGCTACAGAAAAAATGAGGTAATCGAAAGTTATTCTGAAGAACACAAGACCTTACTGATTTCAAACTACCAAGCTTCCTAAAACCATTAAAATGTTTGCACGTTTCAAATGTCATCACATACACATTTAAATCATTGGTTTCAGATGAAGAAATAAGCACTGCTAGTTATTCAGTGTTGCTAGGGAACACGACAGCATCAAAGAACAGTCCAAAGCATTCCAGTAACTTGTGAAAGCATTTTACCTGAGCTTCTACTTATTTAAGATATCCTACTGAGTTAATGGACTCGAGTATGCCAAAGGGTGGCAAGAATCCCTTTCTGTTTATTTGAGTACAGGGAAAAAGGCTGGAAAGGCGCTTGAAGCAGGCTCTGGAAAATGAGGGAACGTATATGAAAATGGTACAAATTGATTAAGAAGAGTCCAAAATATATGCAGGGAAGGATATTGCTGCTAAAGAAAAAAAAAAAAATCAAACCAGGTATCAATACCAAAAGAGACACCAGATTATTTTTATTCTGTTTACAAAAAAAAAACCCCAAACCCCAAAAAACTTACTCCCTATATACATAAAAGAACCACATTAATCATTTTGAACATATTAGTGAAGTGGTAGTTAATAATTAACTTTTTTTTTCTTCTGTCAGCATTCCCTGTAATGGAATGAGAAAGGGAGCTTGTTCCCTCTGTTTTCTTCTTCTGTGAGTTTTGGGGCTTTTTTTCTTTTTCTTTTGTTGGATTTTTTTGAGGGAGCTTGGGGGCTGGTGGGTTTTTTGGGCAGCTTTGGGGATTCGGGGGATTTGGGGTTAGTTTTGGATTTTTTTTGTTTATTTGGTTGGTTTTGCTTTTTGGTTTTATTTCCCAAAAGTAGACAATGTATTTGACTGCAGAGAAAGGCATTGTTTTCCTGCAGCCAAATTAGAGAGCTTTGGATCAGTGACACATCATCCTCATTTACTACTCTCCCTTAGTCACTGTCAAACAACTGCAAACAGTCAATAATGACCTACTCATCGATAAAAACACATCACTAAGGGCAAATACTGATGTCTTCAATTAGAACCTATCATTTGACAATGACTCTTTGTCTATAATGGCATTACCTAATTACAGTGATATCTGATGAAGTTTTAATCCATTTAACATAATTTTTATATTGTTCCAGCTGAATAGTCAAAGTATCAGTAGACTTTTGAAAATAATTCTTGGTGTTGAGTTATCCTCAACAACCAGTTCCAACATCCTCTAAACTTTAAGTTAGAGAAGACTTATTTTTCATAACCCCATTCTAGTGGATATTAATTACCCTTTTAGTTCTTGATTAACGAACTTCTGTTTCAGAGATATTATGTTTCTGCCTAGGATCTCATGTCCACAGATCAGGAAAGGTGTTGGAAAATTAGAGGATACTTACAGAAAAGGCACAAGAAATTTTAAAATATTGAGAACCATAAAAATGAAAAACTAAGCAGTTTACTTAGCTGAAAAGAACAGATTAGGAAGTGACCCAGTCACAGTCTACACAGACAGAAACTTAACAGCAGATATAGCAAGCCAACAGCTTGCAGCTGTACCTGGATGTGTTCAACTACAAAGAGTGCAAGTATAACACAAAGTACTTGGTTATAAATTTACCAAGAGTGAAGGACCCACTTTAAAACACAGATTAATTTTTAAGATGGGCATTTTTGGGGGAAGAGAAAAAAAGAATACAGTTTGAACATAAATAATTTTTGTATCAGAAAATATAACTGTTCTCTCAGGAAAGTGACCAGACTAAATGATAACAATGGCTGGTGCTGCAGAATTTGTCATTAACATGTATTAAACATCAAAGGTCAAGATCTATGAAAGACATTTGGAGTTTCCCCCTCAATCAGAGAATCCTGAAGAGAAATAGTTAAATCGGAGAAAACATTTTACTACCAAACTCAAGGATGGCTGAAAAAGAAAATATTCCTTTAAATTGGTATAAACATCTGACCCTTATTAAATGTTCTGGGTCATTTTTTCTTTGTATCTTACCCTAAACTTATTAAAGGCATGATGCCCACCTGGAGATCCAGGTGGAAAAAAAAGCCTGTGGCTGCACCTCTACTTCCTGAAAGTTATCTTAACTTCCAAAAAGATATGATGGGAGAAAGGAAGCAGTAAGCAGAAACATCCAAGGTGGAGCTCTTGCAGGAGGAAAGGAACCCTCCTTTAATTGGGACTCTAATTACAAGGCAAAGAATCTAACAGACTGGCAGAGCACAGGTTGAGCAGAAACAGGCAGGTGGCAAGTCTGCTCAAGATACGAAAAGCTGGCAGCAACAGAAGTCTTAGTCACTACTGCCCTCTTGTTGGAATAGTTTGCTTTGTTTATTTTCAGACATTAAAGATTTAAGACTGAGTAGCATATACCTATGTGCATATATTTTCTCTTACTGTGTTATTTTTTCTGTTGCTAAATTCAGAGCATCCAGATGCATTTGAGCCAGTCGCAAGCCAGGGAATGTCAAAAAAGCACCAATAAGTGAACACAGAACAGCCAGGAACAATTTGAAGGTTAGTTTAGACACAGGACCCCTAAAAGAAAAGAAAGGAAATAAGCATTTTCTTGGGGAGGAAGTTGGGGGGGGGGGGGGGGGGTATCAGAGAATACTTTCAACTCAACAGTATCTAACATTCAATAAAAAAAACAAACAGTATTCTATAGTCTTCCTCTGGAATACCAGCATTATTACAAACCCATCAGGAGTTAAAAATTAAAAACGTCACCTATTTACTTCCTAGAAAAACAGAAAACCTAAGCTACTGCCTATAAGATGTTAAGTTTGTTAGTAGAGAAGAACAAAAAAAAAGAATAATTTATATTGTAATTAACAACAAATTATGTAACAGAAATAGCTAATAGAATTAATTTAATGATTATGTTTTTTAGAGAGGAATGGATGCATCATAAGTTTAACTGGTCAAAGACAAAGTGGATATTTAAGTTATGCTACTTACATTCTATCTTTATCCATTAAAAAGCTCTATCAAACTGTTATTACTGCAGTTTTTCACAGATTTATCTAAAACATATATGTGGCCAATTAATGTGTCTCTTCCAAGTGATGAATATAGTTGGTTTTAATGAACTATGGAGTATATAAAAAAAAATACTGAAAAAATATCCAGTAGAAACTAAATTATGGAATTAACGAACACTGGATTACACAAAAAAACAAGTGACATGTAACTAACACAGATTAAAGAGGAACAAAAACAAATCTAGTGATCCACATGAGTTTCAGATTCTTTCTTAATCTACGTCGTATAAACTACCAAGAGACACCATCATCAACTCAATTGCTGCTGTAAACAGCCAAAGCACTGCAAAAGTTCAAAAATAAATACACACTTAACAGGAAAATTAATACAGTAGTAAACTTGCAATAGCTTAGGAAAAACAGGGTGAAGAAAGGCTAGAAACCACATGGGATTCAGTTAAGGGTTTCCCATGAGTTTACTCATAAATGACCCACTAATCTAGTTTGAGGAAACTTCTGTTCCTCAAAAATAAAGAGATTCCATAGCTTCTCCATGATACTTGTGAATTTCTAAGCAAGAAATTCAAAGTTGTGCTCCCACTGTGATGACATACCCTATAAATGCATTTTAGAGCCTGTGTATAAGGAAAGAATTGCAACAGAAATCCATTTTACAATATACAAAGGCTGTCTACGACAGCAATTGTGTATTTATGTAACATCACAAGCTATGGCATGTTCCTTTAACAGTCTATACAAAAGTTGGATGTCCTGTAGCAAGCAGATGTTATTGCATAATAGGAAAACACCATCACAACCTGAAAACAGGATTGAACACCAAAATTTATTCCTAATGCCAACTTTATCACAAGCTCCACCTGTAGCTTTTGCACGCTCATCCTCTTGCATACCACAGGAATGGCAAAAAATACCTATCACCTGTTTTAAGCAATCCTTGCAAAGCTGAAGGGAATTACCATGAAAAAAGTGTTTACAGTTTAGAACTCTACTTTATAAACTACAACCAAAATGTCAGGGTAGAAACTATCTCCAAATTAAAAAGAGAAAAAACAAATGCAACTTAAGTTACTTGTGAGTACTGATGAATTATTTTCATTAATCCACGTCTTCACATTATTATAGAGATTTTAAGCACATACAAGAGCAAAACATGAAAGACAAATGCTTGCTAAGAAAATCCAAGTGGTTCAGTTATAAATACACACATAAAACAGACAAATATATTTCCAGAAACTTACTGGGATTCCAAACCCTGCTTTTCAAGAAACTGCATAGCACTTTCTGAGAAATTCGAGAATCCTGCAGAGACACATATATGTATTTTATTGCAGTACAAATGCAGAATCCCATTTTTCAAATAAAATGCTAGGTAACAGGTCATCTTTTAAACAAATTTTCATAGGTCTAGAATAGCTCTTTCATGTGCTAATTAGTAAGCCATAAGGCAATAAAACTTGATTATTAACATCTCTGATATTTGTACACTTCATGAACATGAATAAAATTAACAGTATTTTTTACAAACATAAGTATTTCTTTTTTTTTTTTTTTTTCACTAAAGGAGCTTCACTTTACTATGAAAGGCAAAATAGGTTAAATGTAAAACTGGAAGGCAAATATAATTAACATAACAAACAACATAGGCAAAGATTACACTATTTAAGAGAAAACAGGGAAATACACAGGATATCCCTCAGAATCTGCATTCCAAAGCAAAATTTCTTATGACATATAGGACATATATAATTTACTTTAACACAGATATTTAAAAAAAAAAACAAAAAAACCCTAAAAGACTGGAAATAAATTTTTCAGGTCTTGCAATCACGAGAGCTGTTGCAAACACTAAAGAAAGGAGTTACCTGATTCCAGTCCAAACTCTAGATAGTTTTCTGTGACAATGAGAATTGCCATTGCTTTCACAAAGAAGAAAAAACCAAAGGTGACACAGACTGATCTTTCACCTCCATCCTCTACTTTGAAATAATGGGTAGTCAACGAAAACAGTACCTTACTACACAAGAAGAAGGTCAAGGAAAATTAAGTCTGTAAAATAACTATATTTAAGAATTATGAAGCTGTATTTTGGTCACCTATACTAGGGCTGATCTGTAATGTGCAGGTTTTTTAAAGAAGTAATATGTGTTCAACCAATTTCAGGTTAAAACTACAGAATACTGTAAAGCATAGTAATCACATAACGGGTACCCAGGAATACACTACTTTGGAGTATAGTTTTGATTTAGGCTTACTAATAGTCAACTGCAGCAACATTCACCACCAATCTAGGAGAATTAAACTGCAGTTTAAATGTAAATGACTACATAATCATAAGTTACATCAAAGAAAAAATAAGACAATTGTATCTTCAATGCAAAATATCAAGCTAAATGAAAAATATTTCTTCAAACCACAGAAGTCAAGATTTAATATATCTTAATTTCAAAATCCAAAATACTACTTTTGAATGGAACAACTGTGGTGGCAGGGGAGTGAATAAACACTTTTTTAACCACAGAGGAGCTATATGTGTTCCTCCTAGATGCACAACCCTAAGCTATAAATACCAACAGCAAGAACGCGATGCTCCAACAAGCACTTCTATCAATAATGGGACAAAATTTCTCAACTATGAAAACTTCGGCTCTCAGGGAGCATAGACCTGCCCTACAAGAAACTTACAAATGGCATGGGATTGTTGCTTAGATTATTATGTGACTGTTTAGTAAACAGAAAACACGTGAAAAGATGAAATTTGTATTTCTCTACTTTCACGTGCACGTGTTTGAGATTTCTCAGCTATCAAAGACAGTAAAACAACAGCACATTTGGTACCATCTCGGAAAGAAAATCTACCCAATGCTCATCTTGGGGAAAAAAAAAAACCCACCACCACCAACAAAAAAAAAACTTAAAAAAACCTATATAGTCTGGTATGATATATTAAGTTCTTTCATGTAACCCCAGTGCCACAAATATGAACATCTAAGACATCACCTGCTCTGTTATCAAGCTGTTTTTAAAATGTTTATGGAGTATTTTCCTTTTTAACACATTTCTAAACATAATTAGCTCCAAAGTTAAACAGTAGATTAGGATAAGTTTTTCATGATACATTGTCAACTTTTATTACGATGAACTACAGCCCATTATAACTGATTTTTTTTTTTCCAAATGGCAGGCAATATCCAGTCCATATTTTAAAAAAGTACTTGGAGATCACTCCAGACATTACCTGTTTGGAAAAATGAAAGAGAAAAAGAAAAAAGAAGATTTTTAGTGTAAACTGTACTCTTTTTCCACTATGCACAAACCAGGACGCATGCTCATTCATATTTGCACTTTTTCTAATAGTGGAAGTATTTTCAGATGTAGATTACATGAAAACATGTTTTAGAGTATCTATTCAGTAAAACATTTGAACAGTCATCAGTTAATCTCTCAAGAAACTATATGATTATGCAATATCTCACTCCATTAAGCAGCACATATTTAAACATACACATTGCTGTATTTCATGTATATGCAGAGGTACTCATAAGCACACAGTAATGTGGCCTAAGCACAGCATCTCATGACTCTTAAGTTCACAGTAATCAACTTAAGCTCCCTTCATACTTCACGGAAAGAAATGATTTATCTAAAGGAAGACTTAAATAATCCTAAAAAGAGGTACCTAATGGATCATATAGAATGTGTTCCAGAAAGCTCTGTTTCTCTCACAATATGTTCTTAAACCAAGTGTCTTCTTACAGCTAGGGACATCGATCACAAATTGAAAACACACTGATTTCAAATCTCGAAGTTATACAAAGGACTTCATAACAGTTTGTGACCAATAGTCCTAACCTATAAACAGATTTATAATCCCCTAGACACTTCATGTTTTCAATATGGATTGTGGCTAAAGAATGTGGAAAATGCAGCCAGGAAAAAGAAAGCATACTGACAGTAAACTCCAATTACAGTGCAGATTCAGAACCTTATATATAAATTAATGATTATGCAAACTATATGTGAATGAAACCCTGGTACTTGAATAATCACCACTGCTACCTATTTTAGGAATGGAAAAAATCAAAGCATTATGGCTTGCTTCATCAATTCCTTTCACTGCTTAACCTACGTTTTAGGACCTACTAAAGAAATAATTCAGGAATATACAGTGCTAAGTTAATAGATTCCTCACCCTCCCCACCCCACTTTTTGTAATTTTTTTTTTTTTTGGTCATAAAAGGTAATATGCCTGTAGAATTCATGGTATACATTTTTACAAAAATAATTTTATGTTTTAAATTGCTGCAATTATGGAAATTTTTTTATGATATAGTCCACTGGTATTTATGCACATGGTTGAAGAGAAAAACATCCATCTTCTGTTTCTATTAAAATACACGAAATTTTTGGATTCACAGTTGAAAACCAGATAAACTCCTCTATATTACTTCTAATTGCATGTATGTAGATAATATTACAGTTTAAGGCTTAGAGGTTATTTTAAGGTATTTAATGACTGATTTTCCCTAGATGAACCTTCAGTCAAGTTAAGACTGTCGCTTCCCTTTGCTATGCCATAGATATGTTTTCCAAAAGTAGCCAGTGAAATTTACTAATCTACCAATGAAATCAGGTTACTTAAATCTTTTCAGATAAGACAGCTGAGAAATACGTTACTTTTGCTATACCACATTAATTTGCCTAAATACTTTGCCTTTGCAACAGAAATGATTGCATACAACACTGTTTAAAAGTTTATACACAAAAAGTTAAGTAACCTGACTTACTCAGCTGTTCTCAGTGATGAATTTTAAACAGCTGTATAAGTACAGTAATTTAATTTAGGTACACGCTACATTAAGATGGATCATCTCTGTATTGTCCATCTTACTCTATCCTCATGCACATTCTTCCTCCCGCCAATGAAGTATTTTGTTATTTTACAAACCCCATCTTTTGAAAGTAAGCTGGCTGCAACTGCTATATTTAAAATAGTGATCAAGAATTCAGGTTGCTAATTTTGAATATTTTTTCTGACAGAAGCCACCTTTCCAAGTTTCCAAATAATAGAAATCATCAATCTGTGAATAGTTACTATTGTGAATAGTTACTAGTTGAACTTCTGGAATTTTTCTGAATATCTACACTATGAACATTAAAAAATGCTAATAGTGGGTTACTGCACTGAATCAAAACATCCATTTCTGGAAGACACAGCTGAAAAAAATTCCAATCATTACTTCCAACTTCTCTGAGCTTTTCTTGGTCATTCTGTCAGCCAAATCCTTAGTACAACCTATCACCTCTTAACATGCAGACATGAGACAGAAAAAACACCTGCCATCAAAACACAAAATTGTTCTAGAATTAGTTCTTGATGTATCACATTGACTGCTTTCAACTGAAAATATGGAAGCAACCAAATTTTTCTAGCACTTAAATTACAGTGAATCATTTCTGGTCTTGACACACTGAATTAGTAAATAGTTGTATAAATTTTGAAGTATTCTCAGCATCCCAGAGGCCTGATGTCACAACACATGAATGAACCAGCTTTCTTCTGAAATCTCTTTTCACCAGCCTAGTTTCTGGTGATCACAAGGATTGTTATCAATACCTCTGCGTATCACTCTTTGCACCATCCTCCTTCACCCAAAAACCCATAATGCCCAGAATAAGTTATGTTAACATATTTATGGAGATGTTAACTCTAATACAAAGTTTAGAGTGTGCTTTCTGGTACTGCAGCCTTCTGCATTGCCACTAACCCCTCAGACTGTACAGGATCACACTACTTCATCCCCTTGGTCCAGGAACCATACAGGCAATTAAGGAAAGTTCTATTCAATATTAGGAAGCGGTGACTTCACAAGGATTTCTACAAAATCGCTTACCCTGTGCAGAAGCCTCAAATAAAAACAAGGTCTCTTTAATGCCACAGGAAAAAAAAGTAAATAAAAGCTGTATGAAGTGGTAGAAAACTAGTTCTGACTATTTGTTTCCTTTGTATAATCAATGACTGTTCAACTACCTAGCACTGGATAAGTAATTATACTTATACAAGGTGACACTTGTATACAGGTTTCTTATTTCCCATAATTTATTTATTTCTGAAGGCTTGGTCCTACATATCAGGCCATTCTTCTCTAGGCTTTCCCACATCTGCATATGTTTTTAGAAGTGTTACATGAATTTTAAACTTTAACTTCTCTAACCTTTCTCGCACCCAAAAAAACTGATAGAAGTCCTTAAGAATTTTCTCTCTGAAGTATACTGCCTTTTACCAAAACTCAAAACAATATTCGTTCCTTAGACAATACATGCCTAGGTACAAAAATGCTAAAGCATGCAACAGACTGTTTACAGCTTGTTAAATAAAATCTAGGTTTTAGCACATGATCTTCTGCTTTTAATACTATTGTATCTGATCTTACTTCCCTTTCAGTCATGTAGGAAGGCTAGTGAGAAAATATAGCTAATGTGCTTCTAACATGCAGGGAACACTAGATCTGTTTCAATCTCCTCCAGGGCCAACCATGCAATTAGATCTCAAGTGCTTCAGCCAGATTAGGATAAAACTGGAAATGCTGGTTTAGGCTCATTCATATAAAAACGGAAGGCGAGAAAGAAACAATCAAAAAACAGACCCCAATAGCTACTTGCATGCTCACAAAAGAGACAGAAAGCTTGCACTGCCAGGCAACTTAATCTTTTTTAATTTCTACATTTGGTTTTGCCCTGAATTGATAACCAAATGAAAGCAGTGGTTAGGATTGTATTCAAATACTACTGTAAGAAAGAGTTATTGCAGAGGATTTTCCTACAATATATAATTCACAACTCTACTTCACCTAGAGTTGCAATCATTGTAGTATTATTTAAGCTGGCTACACCCGAGATTCGAAAGATGAAGCAAATGGGGTGTTGCCACCAATAAATTTAAGAGCACACTGTGGCTTTAGTATTTGAAGCTTGTTTTTCCATTAGTTCTATTAACCTCCCCCTCATCCTCAAAATGGGAGTCAAAGGTGTTGGCTTTCATTTCTGACTTCTTAAGCAGGAGCTGCCTCTCTCTCCTTCCCTCTGCCAAGATTAAACTAGAATTCCTGACTTCACCCAAACAAATAAAATAAAGGCTGTGCAATAACAGCTCTATATTAGCTATAATATAGCTCTAATATAATTATAAGGTGCACAAAAGCCAGACCCTGACTTTCCTGTCACTACCTAGTAGACTAGAAAAAACACCTTTTGGACTGTGGATCTGTCCACTGACAAGTCAAAGGAGAAATACCTGGTCTGGAAGCAAGCTAGTGACAGTCTTTTTCATAATGTGAAACAACTCCCTCTTCCAGTAAGTTTTTACTCTTTACAAGAAAAATTCTGGATATCATTTACACTTCAGGTGACTTAGGAAAAGAATTCCCATCCTTATCGTAAAGGCAGCACACATTTTAATAATTAACAAGAACAGACAAGCATTAAGCATATCCAGAACTGTTAGCCAAATATAACTAAACATTCAGAACTAAACAAGAGTTCAAGGGTTTTACATAACACCATCAGCTATTGCTAACACCAAAAAAATAAAAAAAAACAAACAACCCACAACACAGTAAGAATCTCTACTGAAGAACAGGCATTTATACAGAAGAACCAATTTTGAATATTCAAGTGCTATATCGACCCTAACTTAGCACTTGATCTGGTTGTCAGCTGTTGAGGGAGCAGAGGAGTTGCAGAAATTCATTTTCTAACTCACCTTTCCATAACCTGCACTCTTGCAGGCCCTTATTCAATTCCACTGCTTTATCACCTATCACATCTTTAAAAGACAACTTTCCTCCCTAAAGTGTACATCTGGATTGGTATGTGGAAAGCAGTTAATTACCATGCAAGCATCCATGTCTGATACTGCTTTCTCTAGTAAAAACAAACATAACAGCTGCTTCTTTTTATGGTTTGACATTGCCTGTTTCCTAAATACCCCACTTTTTTTTCAGTTTCAGAGGGGAGTTCAGCTTTTCACAGAGCTTTGAAAATGTACCACCTCAGCTCCTACAACTGTCCACACATTTTTCCTTCTGCAGACTTTTTTAGCGTCTTGAATGTATTTTAAAATCATGAATCCATACATGTATCTCTGCAATAAATTAGTATACACATTGCTGTCCCATTTTGTTCAGGAACTATCAGATTAAACATACTGAAAACAGAAAGTGTGGAGTAAACTGCACACTTCTCCAAAAGCTGTAAATACTTTGTGTAGAAAAATTTATTTCTGACTGCCAAACTGGGCAAAACCAAATTAGTTTAGAACCACTACATACAACAGATGAGCACTAACTGTATGTTCACATACATGTATTTTTTTCGATAAATGGTTTGTTATTAATGTTAACAAGCTAGTGATATCAGCATGTACAAAGAGCACGTACAGCATATACATTCCCTAACAATGGCACTAGCTTACACGATCCTTTTTCCAAATGCTAAACATTTGTGTCTTTTGCCAATCAACAATACAGAGCTTTATATGAATTGCAGAAAGATGTAAACTATTTGGAACAGATAGTGTCATTTAAGAAAACAGAAAAGGATACACTGCAAAAGCCAAGACAAGCAGACACCACACTACGCTTATATTCATTTCTTGTGAGGGCTTCACAATACTGTAATAGGCTTCCGTCACCACATACACAACTGTAGCTGCAACAGTGAAATCCACCAACCACTGATATTCTGGAAAATAATGCAATGCTGAAAAATACAAGATTGCAAATGTTAAAGGTGTGATATTTTAAGGCAGTTACTGGTTTATATAGAATGGAGTGACAATTTTAAAATGTTTTCAATTAACTGAGGTCTAGGTAGGCCCAGATCATCCAAGTAAAGAGCAACAACAGCGAAAAAGCCACATTTTTTCCACTCAGCAACCTGAACCTCACTCTTCACTTCTGTTACTCGATACTTGATGACTACTCAAATTTATAAGGCTACAAGATTTTACTGTTTTGTCATCTCAGCTTTTATACATTAACATCCTAAATACAAAATGCATACATAATTTAGATCTCAACATCATGACAGAAAATGGTTCTCCAGTTGAGCCTAGCTGCAATTCTAGGTAAGAGTTTTTTTGACTCTCTGTTAAAGATTAAAAGCTCATCGGCAATCATTTAAAATACTACATATAATCACTTCCTCTTTTTCTTTACAAAAACCAGTAAGATACTGATGGTTTGTTCTTCCAGGTTTTGTTAGTATCTCCTGTACAGCAATAAATCATTGTGTAAATTCCACTCTAAAAATTCTGGGGATCATACTGTGTTGCATGCAGGCTGGGTGATTTACAAAGAGAGAACATGCATATAAAAACGTAGATAGGAAGAAAATATGTATCACACATGAATACATATCCATATATGAGTTTTCTGTAACAGAATGACTGGTTATGATTAAGGAATCAAAAATGACCATGTAAAAAACCTGCAACTTCCAAAACACTTAATGCTGCTTATTTCAGTTTCTAGGCATTTTACCTCTATGTTTCAGATGTGTGTTTGGAAAGGTCTAGGTTTCAATGCTACAGCGCATTTCCTATTTCAGATGAGCAGAAAGTATGTTTCGACACCTGCCAATTGTCATGTTCTTGTACAAAGCTATGATCTCTATTTCAAATAGACTATGATGTGATCCTTTCAGTGTTGTCTCATATTGCTACGGATACAACAATAGATGTGCTTTATGCTGGATTTCACCTACTCATCCTTTTCCATAACACTGCTATTAAGATGTCACCCACAGAACAAGCAAGGAGAAAATGCTGGTTTTGGCTGGGGCAGAGTTGATTTTCTTCCCAGTAGCTGGTATGGGACTATGTTTTGGATTTGCACTGGAAACAGCATTGATAACACAGGGATGTGTTAGTTATTGCTGAGCAGTTCTTGCACAGGGCCAAGGGCTCTTCTGCTTCTCCCCCCACCCCACCAGCGAGCAGGCTGGGGGGGCACAAGGAGTCAGGAGGGGACGCAGCCGGGACAGCTGACCCCGACTGACCCAAGGGATATCCCATGCCATAGGACGTCATGCTCAGCATAGAAAGCTGGGCAAGAAGAAGAAGGAAGGGGGGACGTTCGGAGTGATGGAGTTTGTCTTCCCAAGTCACGGTTAGGCGTGATGGAGCCCTGCTGTCCTGGAGATGGCTGAACTCCTGCCTGCCCATGGGAAGTGGGAAATGGATTCCTTGTTTTGCTTTGCTAGGGCATGTGGCTTTTGCTTTACCTATTAAACTGTCTTATCTGAACCCAGGAGTTTTCTCACTTTTACCCTTCCAATTGTCTCCCCCCTCCCGCCAGGGAGGAGTGAGCAAGCAGCTGTGTGGGGATTAGTTGCCAGCTGGGGTTATACCGCCCTAGTCTTGCCTTCTCATTTAACATTATTATCAGTTGTTCTTCTATTTATTCATTGTCTATAAAAAAAAAGATATTCCAACATTCACTGCAAACAGGCATTTGATAGGAAGAATCAGGATATATTTGAAATAAAGTATTATCATCTTCATCCACTTGTTCTTACCGATAGTGTCCCTTTCAGTCACAGATTTTGTTTCCAGATGAAGATCGATGTCTTTCGGAATGGTTAAGGGTTTGTTTTCAATATGACCATTATATTTTCTGTAAAAGTAAATAAATAGATAATACACACATGGATATAACAAAATAAATTTTTTCAATATATAACAGCATTCCAAATTTAAGAAAAGTGCAGACCACTTTTTTGCCAAATGCAAACACTTTTATCTATCTACCTAAAAGCATTAGCTCCAGTTCAAATTTTGAGTAACAACCAGGTATGTCAATGATTCCCAGCTTTATCTTGCAAGGCTCTGACATACTACTGTGGTATGGGTTTAAATAGCTTCTATATGCTGCATCCTGAGCATGTATTACGGCAAGATCCAGTGGCCAGTATTTACTTCAGCCCGCTGATTTTCTCTGTTCAGGGAGCTACAGGGTGTTCTAGTAAGTTCTCACAGTCTCAAAAGGTCAATGATACAAGCACAGCTACAGAACAGAATATATCCACCCCACCATACAGATACCCTGAAGAAAATCAAACTAAACTCAGACTTTTTAATTGAAGTCTATACCAGGAAGCTGAAAGACAGGAGTATTAAAGTTTTTGGATTGAAAGTAAGTAAAGAACAACAGACAGACTTGGCAGCATTAATTTATTGAACGTTCACTGGAAATAACAAGCAGTAATCTATCTTGGAAGATAGCTGATAAGAAACAAAAGATAAAAAACATATTTCCCAAAAAAGCATTAGGCTTTTTTGTCACAACATGGTGCTCAGCAAGTACATCATGTGAGCTAGACTAACCTAGATCCTTGAAAAATCCATCCTGCTAGCCATCAATCAAAGACAATTTTAAGACAGTTTTCTAATCTAAAAGGGTATGTGTAGAAATACTATAGACTTGTTTCAATTCATACCCTGCTTATGAAAATAAGCAAAAAAAAAACATTACCGCAGTATTACTAGCAATCCCAGTGATCCAGTAAATCCATCGTGCTCTCTTTGGGGAGACAGACAAGGCTAAATACATCACGATACATACAGTACCAGGGATCAAAGCTATGTTCCAGGTCCATAAGAGTAACACACAGATTCATTTGTTCCTATCATAGAGGTGGCTACTTGCTTACACAAAAGGAAAGAATAAGGCAACCGGTGGCTGATCCTCACACTGCTAAACCCTTCCTGGCTTCCAGTATTAAGCAACTTGAGGATAATCTGAGCCAGGGATTGCATCATCTTCTGAAACCATAACTTTTCAAAACTTACATGAATTTGCCTAATCCCTTTCTGAACCAGTGTCCTAGTTTCAGGTGGGACAGAGTTAACTGTCTTCCTAGTAGCTGGTACAGTGCTGTTTCTGAGTTCAGTATGAGAAGAATGTTGACAACACTGATGTTTTCAGTTGTTGCTAAGTAACATTTAGTCTAAAAATCAAGGATTATTCAGCTTCTCATGCCCAGCCAGCGAGAGCGGTGGAGGAGCACAAGAAGTTGGAATGGGACACAGCCAGGGCAGCCAACCCAAACTGGCCAAAAGGGTATTCCATACTGTGTGAAGTTACATCTAGTATATAACCTGGGGGGAGGAGGGGGTGGGGGAAATCACTGCTCAGGGACTAACAGGGCATCAATCGGTGGGTGGTGAGCAATTGCACTGTGCATCATTTGTATATTCCAATCCTTTTATTATTACTGCTGTCATTTTATTAATGTTATCATTATCATTATTAGTTTCTTCTTTTCTGTTCTATTAAAACATTCTTATCTCAACCCACGAGTTTTACTTCTTTTCCTGATTTTCTCCCCCATCCCACTGGGGGGGGAGGGGGGGGGTAAGTGAGCAGCTACCTGGTGCTTAGTTGCTGGCTGAGGTTAAACCACGACAACCAGTATGAAACTTGCTGAGCTGCGTAGTGTCTTGTGACACCAAGTTCCAAAATGTGTGTCCAAAACTGAGAAGTCCTTAAATCTACTCTACTAACATCATTCAGTGTCTCCTTCTACAACACAGTAGTAGAGCAAAAGGCTCATTTTTGTCTGGAGCTCTGAAACTACACCAACATCATGATATTCACTTTCCTGAAAATAAGCCACACTACTAGACTTTAAATTGAAGAAAACCAAATGCTCTTAAAAGAACCTGAACAAAGTCAAAGATATGTGAAATTGGGCTGAGAGATTGCCGTCACTAAGGTAAAACTTACCTCATCACTATTAAGAAAAAAAAAAATCATTAAAGCAGATCAGAAAATGTTTTTAGGTTAAAAAAAAAATTCAAACCCCAAACTTAAAAACCCTAAATGGCTAGAAGGAAACGGTAAACTCTACCACATTTTAGAACAGCACCTCTGAAATTAGAGAAGGAAAGGTGGATTTTCCATAGAAAGATAAGTTACTGAGACATAAGCATTAAAAAGAAATTCAGTCAATCAATTGTGAGCTTATTTGTAAGGAATGATGTCATCTCAGCTAATAAGTGAGATAAGAATACAAGCAGAAAGCATTAATAATTTTTTTTCCAGTTGATATTAATTCCTGGTATCATCCAAAGCACAAGAATTTTAATGGACAAACTAAAACTGAGGATAGGAATCTAAAGCATTACTCAGAAAATTCAGGGGCTCAGGTCTAAACAAGAAGTCCAAAACGCTGCCCAGCCACTTGAGTACAAGTTTCTGTGTGCTTCCCTGCCCCTAGCTGTACTCTGATGTTTTCCTACAACATGCACCCAGGAGTACCATCATCTTGAGTGAGATGAGCATTTTGATAACTGAAGCCATTTCAGCTCAACAAAATTTGGTGTTCCTACACTTTAATTATCCCAGGGGACAAATAATCCAAGAGACACAGTCAGAACATACGCGGGATCATTGACAGCTTTAATTCAAGTAATTCATAGTAGCTATGGACCTTTTCATTAGCCTAACAATTTAATGTAACACAAATTATTCTGAAATAGAAAATCTGCCCAATATTCAAGTGCTATTACAACCTACAGCATAATATACTGAAGTGTAATATGCATTGAATAAAATGGAGTAGAATTTCACACTACAGCTGTTTCTAAGGCTAATTTTCAAGCAAGTTCCTTGGACCTCCTTTTGTTATTTCTCTTTTAATTAGTTCATATTGGGAAAGTATTTAGGTAAGGAGCAGGTACTACATTTTGCAAGACCATGGGCTTGACAAAGCAAATTCTTTATCTTGGAAAGACATGGGGAAAATCACATAGATGCATCCTTATTTGTCCTACACCATCTGTTTCACATCTCCTTGGCTCAAGGGCGCACTGCATTCCATTTTGTGCAACCTAAAACAGTACATCCAAACCAATTCAACAGAAACAATTCCTACTTTAAACTACAGTTCTCCTCCAACACCAGCCACTTCTTTAGAGGACACAGAGGTATATTTATTGACTAAGAAGTAAGTGCATTATTCATTCTGTAGTTAAAACAGCAAAGCAAAGAAAGCATCATTTAAGCCTCCACACTACCGTCTTGGATTCTTTGAAGTTTCACAACCCTCTGTGATTAACAGTTACCCTCATACAAACAACTACCTACAACTATTACAACTGTATTCTCTTGGTTACATGTTAATATAGTAAGATAATTGTATCAACCTTACAATAACTAAATCACACCAACAAAATTTTGACTGCACAGACATGAAAACATAGCACTGCATTTGAAACATTAAATGTAGAAGTTAGTAACTGAAAAAGGACTTAATGCATATATAGGTGACTTGTGATACAGGATCCTACAAAATTTCACAGTAAGTTTTCCAGAGATTACACAATTAAACTCATATGTCAGCACACATTAACATGCCATGCTTCCACTCAGCTGAGAGCATGTAATTGCTCTGGTGAAAGCAAGAACACACGTTTTGGATGGCAGAAGACTGGCAAGGCTGAGGAAAGGCAATAAGAGCAATGTACAATTATTATTTGGCAGTGCAATTGCATTTTTCTGTTTAAGGCTCCTATGGGAGGACGTACAAGCTATAGTTATGTAATTAAAGTTACTTCACATATGAATAAATATCACTGGTTAAATGGACAGTTAAAAATTGTAAAGCTATTCACAATTACTTTGCCGCACCTTGTTATAGAAAACTGTTAGATAAAATAAGTTTCTGAATTTGAAAGCCTATTGCAACAAACATGTAAAATTAGTTATGTGATATTAAAGGAACAACTTAATTCTTTACTCCAAAGTGTGGCCAATGAGGTTGCTAACCATATAGCTTAAGAACTATGAAACAGAAAAGGAAAAAAAAAATCACATTACAATGAACAGATTATATATGCAGTTTGTGGATTAACAGAAGTGTTAAGAATTATAAAAGATTTAATGCTGGAATAAAAGAAAAAGGACTAAACGAAACCTCTTATGTCACAAAAGAAAAGGGAGGGGGGGGCGTGGGCAGAGGGGTTGGTTTGTTTGTTTTAAACATAGCCAATTCAGAAATCTTGCATCAACATAGGCAGCTTCACCACCTCAAGATGTCTTGGTTCTTGCTGCAGTTGTACTTCTAGTAAGGCTGTTCCAGAACTTCATGCCTGAATGTCAGAAATCTATTTCCAGCTTAAGCTGATAGACAGCTATCCCATCCCTCTCAGTCATCTTTTTGATAGGTTAAACAAGCCAAGCTTTTTTAGCCTTCTCTTACAAGATGGACCTTCTGTTTCTTGGATGATCTTAGCCCTCTGTTCACCTGTTCATGTACAAATTCATTTTTCTTGAACACAAGTGATCAGAACTGTACACAGTAATCCAGATAAAGTTCTACACTCTGGTGCCTTGTCCAAAAGGATTAATATTTCCCTATCTCTTCTATTAGAAATACCTCACCTAATACATCCTAGAAGCACATTTACCTTTTTCACAGCTGTGTAAGAGGGGTGGCTCACAGTAATCCTATGTTGAACTAATATACTCAAATCTTTCTTCTCTTGCTTCAAGATGAAGAGCTTCAATCCTATAGAAGATTTGCTTTCCTCAGTTTTCATCCAAATGAATACATTCACTAAAAAAAATTCCTTGCCACCGAATTCGCAATTTCACAGACCAATTTTGTGGACTGGAAATCATCCCGTTCTGCACAATTTGGGCATGTTCAACCCTGTTAAACTGAAAGAACACAGTTTGGTGCAGAGCTGTGGCAATTAATGCAAGCAGGGCAGTCATACGCAACTAGCAGTTTTTAACTCGCACAAAGACAAACGTTGGCCAGCAAAGTTGTTATATGGATCATGCTGAGAAAAAAGAGGGGGAAAAAAAAAAAGAAAAAAGCTTAAAACAAGTATTTACCTATCTTTTTTGCTCCTCCCTCTTTGTTTCCCTGCAAGAATCCGTAGTTCTTCTTCAGTGGGATGCTGATACCACCGTAAACTAAAGAAAAAGAAAATCTCAAGTAAAACAACGTCAATATTACCAATTTAGAGTGGTTTTCTAAAAAACCTATATAACAACACAGATCTATATGCATATTAAGACACTGATCATTTGCAACACCTCAGCAAAACACCCTTGTGTGCAAGTACCAACTCTGCCTGAACAGAACAACCACAGATAAACTTCAGTTCTCTTCAGCGTATGAGATGCTTATTGATAATAGAAAGCTTTGCCACTTTACCATTCACTTCTCAAGACACCAAATTTCCAAGTTATCATCAAATACAGCAAACAAGGTTGTACCGATATTGGAAAAAGTTCACTAGAATAATTATACCATTATAATTACCCATCAGAACCATATTCTAAATGATTTTATAAATATAATTATGCCTCACAAAAACCCAGCAATTTTCCAGAATCCAGAATAGCTATTATCAAATAACCATTACCAGCCTTTTTTCTGAGGCAGAGCACATCATATCATCAACATTCCTTTCCTAAACACCTCGTCAGTGATATCTTCAACTCCTACTTGAAAAAGTGCTGTTAAAAAAAAACCACTGATTTACGCATAGCTGAATGGCAAGTTTTTCCACTTTTACAAGTCAATTCACCATCCATTGCTCATTTACTTAAAAGGCAAGTAGTGGCAAGGAAATTGTGAAGAGGAAAAACAGAGATGGTTAAGTGTCTAACATTTTACCTTAATCTCTAAGCATGTCAAGAACTCTAGTAGCTGAACCCTAGTAGCCTTTTCCACATTCAGCAAGGGAGGGCTGCTGTCCAGATGCAGGAAGGATGTCACTCTGACCTCCATTCTGAAATGCTGAGGCACAGAGCCCAAGTATTAATGGGAACACACTTGGGAAATTTATCTGTATTTATATGGAAGTACTTTTCTGGAGCAGGAGGCCACTAATTGGTGACAGGAGTTAACATGGCATAATAGTTAGAGATGATAATGGAATCCACAACTGTCAGTACTTCTCACGTTGAGAAAACCTCATCAGGTAGGACCATTCAAATCTACACTGGCAAATTAGAGATTATGTTACATCCAATTTCAAAAAGGCAAGGCAAATCTGGAAAATAAACATAAAACCCAAACAATCTCAAACCACTCGATAACACTTAATTCCCATCTCTCTGTTCTGGAAAGGCCTCCTGTCCCAAGTGGAAGTCTGGTCCACCTATCTTTATATTTGCAGAATATGTCCCTTCATGTAAATATAAAAAATTTTGTCATTCTTCATGGAACATCATCTACACAACAAATACTGAGGGAGGTCCTCATGCTAAAAGCAGAAATGCTCCTAAATGCAAGCAGCCACAGCAAGCAATATTATACATCTTCTACCTTCCTTACGACAGCATAGACACTTCATGTGTGCACACGTGCCACAAGAGACATTGGATAAAGACTATGAGAAAGAATAGGTACAATTTTAAAGAGATGTACGTATCACTGAGCATATGCCTGCCTGGTAGATCTTAAACAGGAGACACAGCCCATCTGTCCTGATGCTGTCCTTGACACTACACTGAACTTGGCTGAGGACAGGGAAATGGGAATAAAGAAAAATGGTGTGACAAAAATACAACACATTTTACGAGGAGCTCCCAGTTTCAGCAGTTTAATTGCTGGTATAACGAAGCATTAAACAGGCAGTTGCAAAGAGCTCATGGACACCATCTTAACTTAAAAACTGGCATAATGGATAAGTACCAGTTCAAGCCAGCAATATTACAAGGAATACAGTCTGGTTAATAGGGGTTTCCATGAGCCTGTGTCAGTAGGTACTGCTGTGGTAGAGAATCAGCTAAAGCTGGAATTTCTTCAACAGAAAACAACTTCAGTACCAGTCAATAATACATCACAGAGATCCAAACCATCACTGCAATTTTCCCTTGAAGGAGTGTGAACACTGCCTGTTCAAAAACTGAAAATGCCAAATACTACAGACTTTGCATGAACAAGGAGTTGGGGGGGGGGAATAAGAATTTTGTTTGGGGGTTTTTTTTGAGGCATCAGTAGGAGTGAAAGTTATTTCATTAATTTATTTTTATCATGTGTGGTCCCAGCTGAAAAATTTGCTGTTTGCAAACTCTGCTGCAAAAGAGACTTTGTTACGATTGAGAATCACACAGAAACCAGAGCATCTACGTTTTCATCCAAGAAGATAAAACTACACTGAAGATAAGAACTTATTCCTATCTTTCACATGACCTAGAGAAAGTGGGGGAAAGCAGAGGAATAGTCTGCTCTGTCATTCATCATCTCCCAGATCTGAACTTGGCATGCTGAGAGTACCGCAAGTAGTTCTGTAATGATGAAAATCACCAGTGCTGGAAAGCTAATTTTTCAAAATCTTTCCTGCACAGATACAGAAATAGTATATAATACAGCAGAACAGACAACATTCTTGTTCTGTGTAACATCCTAACACAAATCAAACACTTAACCCACAATTTGCTCTTAATTACACTACAGAATTATGTTGCAAGTGATTCATAATTACAACTAATACGATACAAGAGTTTGGGGATTTTTTAGTTAATAAACCCTAGATACTTTGCATTTAAAATCTCAAAACCAAGAGATCTGAACATTTTCATAAAGGTAGAGCTAAAAAAAGTAGTTTGTATCTGTTTTAGCTTATATATGCTTAAAACTGACATGCCACAACTAATTACTCTGTAGCTTTGACATATCCAAGTTAGTTTGAGTAACAACAGCAGCACAGATATGCCCTAGTTAATTTGAATGAAGGTCATTAACGAATGTACAACAGAACATCCATTTTCCCCTGTCTTCTTGAAGTGGCCTGAAAATAGAACATACCTGAGCAACTTAAAAGCAACATTTTGGTAGTAGTTAAAAATGCAAAGGCCTATGCAGATACTTTGGCTGCCACTTCATTGACTTCAATAAGTAAGAATATTCAAATTCTGTTAAAGCTCTAAAAATAGCACTGATTGAAAAAGTTTGCATTTCTTTACAAATCTAAGTAAATAGCTTTTTAACAGTCAATGACAGTTGTTCATTCTGTAAACAAATAATTATCTTATGTCTATCTTTCAAATTTTGAAATGTCTGTTTCCTTTTAATGGACTTTGAATGTAGACATACAGGCATCTTGAAACCAACTGGCCACTTAAGAGTTTCTGGCTTGTCTGGTAATATGTTTATCCTCCCTCCCATTCGGCAAGGGCTATCTGTAGACATTTCAGACTATCTTGCTTAGAAAAGTCTCCCAACCCTTTGGAGGAAAGACACTTAAGCCAAATAACTTAAAAACCAGGTTTGGGAACCAAAGATTATTTGAAGCATATTGACAAAGGAAAGGATAAGCAGGTGGTAACTTTTCCTAGGAAAGCTGGACTGCTTAATAGTGTGTCTGTCCGTGTCTGTATACAGACAAAATTACATCACTTACCTGTGTACAAAACCCTCCACCACCCCAACCACACAAGTCTGTCAAAGAAAACACTGTTGCAAAAACACAGCACTAAGGAAAATGGGTTAAGGTAAAAGACAGTTTGTCAGCTAAACTAAGAAGAGAACTGGTTTTCTTTCTGCCATTAAGAGTCAGATTCTTGTTGCAGTGAAGCTTCTGACTTGTTTTTATTTCTGGAAGACAGAATTATTTCTGTCTCTTTACATAATTCTTGTATTCAGGAGGTTATTCACAATGACTGAAATTACAATGCACTAAAATAGTTACCAGATAAATAGAACACTGTAAAGCAACAATGAGATTTTCAAGGCTACTAACATGAAAGGCAATAATAAGGGTCCCATTGACTTCAGTGGGGGCAGAATTCCATAAGCACAAGTGCAGAAATCCTGCTTTATGTATTTATCAATCTGTAAGTGTGCAAAGATAAAAGGAGAAAGGGATTATGAAAAATATTTGAACAGCAAACCTCTCCCTACCATTGGCACAAGGCATGCCTTAGAAAAAAGATATAAAAAGTGAAAACTTCACAAGAATTAAGAACATGGGCATAATATTGAGCAATTCTTTTAAAAGAGCAATTACCTATTTAAATTTTGAAATAAAAATTTAAATAAATCTTTTAAATAGCACATAAAAAGTAGAAAATGTCATTTGAATAATTGCTGATGAAAATACTATGGTAGTAACACACCTTAAAATAAATGGTGTGCAATTTCATATTCCTTTACATAAAGTTCTTTTTAGAGCACAAAAAAAGGTGATTAACATTCTGCAGATGTGGTCAACAATGAACTTCACACAACTAAGAGTATGACTCCTGTTCATATTCACCTGACAATTACTGTTTTCCATAACACCTAACCAGTGATACCTAACATGCATCTAAACAACAATTAGAGTAACCTTTCATTAGCAACTATTTGGGTGATGAAATGGGGAAAATAAAAAAAGAAGAAAGTTGGTAATTCTGAGATGCAGAGGAAAAAAGTCAATGGAAAATTATATGAGACTGGTTAAGACTCCTATGGAGCACATTATTATTCAAGGATACTCCTTCAGAAATCAGGGAGTAGAGATTTGGTATTCTCAAAATTTTAACAATTACAAAAGACAGCACACTACCTTCTAATCATACAAAGTGTTTTTCTTCCCAAATGAAAAAACACAGTGCCTATGATTCTTTTAATATTTAAGATACTGATTCATATTCAAAACAGCTGCTGGGTTTCATTTTTATTATGGATACAGCCACACAGGGAATGCTCCCCTTGCAACTCATTATGTCTGTTTGATCTATTGTTATGAGGAAGTAGTGTACTGAAATTTATACTAATCCTGTCCTATGAAGTATTAAAAAAAATTGAATTTTTAATAAATACCTAAGCACTCTTTATATGCAAGGCTAATCAGCAGGTGGATTATCAAGAACACTGAGGCAGTGTAGAGAAAATAATCCATCCATTCTTCAGTGTCTTGTATTCAGTTTAGCTTTTTAATATTAAAGTATGTAGCTTGCGCCTTTAATAATATAAGAGCTGGACAACAGCTAACTTTATGACTGATACAATTAATAACAACAAACAAGTCTGTTCTTTTACAGCAACACTGTCTTTATACCTTGAGCCTGTAAGTCAGGTGTCACAATGCTATGGTAATGAATTTAAGAACAGCAGATTAATTATTTTTCAAGAAAACAACCTAAATTAGCATGTTTTGCTGTTATTACGCTAATGTATAATTGCATTACCATACTCACACACCATATAGCAACTGTTTCTTGTCTTACCTGCCACTACAGAGAAGCCAACGAGCAAGAGAATAGTGAGGTATGATCTTCTGTATGACACTAGCCATTACCATGGTAACCACCAACTGTACACCTATCACACCCTGTAGAGGAATAAGTTAATAACAAGTCAGTATGTGTTTTAGAAAAGTGCTAAGTATCTTTAAAAACAGATAAAAAAATTAAAAGTACCTTGTATGGTAGAGATAACATTTTTTGGTTCTTTTTAAACTAGAGGGGAAAAAAACCATACTGTGTCAGTTTTCAGGAAATCCCCTGGAACTTGCTATAATCAGTTACATACTTCATCAAAGGGAAAAAGCATTCCCAGGTCACGAGGCCAGTAATGTATGTCCCCTGTTTCACAGACTGTAAGGCCATATGTGGACGTGGCATTTCACAAGACATTATGCCTTAAAATTACATCACTGATTACAATCTTGGGTTTTGTGGTCTCTTCAGTTCTGACAGGATTTAACAGCTGACACCGCACAAACACCCTGGAATTAACAGTAATGCACAACATCTGCATCATGAAATTTCAGCCTTTGAGAGGGGAGGGCACACAGAAATCAGCATAGCTTCACTTCAACATCCAACCCTTGGTCAAGATTTGGCACTTCAGCAGAGCCAGCAGCAATCTCATTCCCAGTCACTCAGCAAACTTTATTTCTGACTATTGGTTGTTGCTGTTTTTTGGGGGTTTGTTTTTCTTTTTTAAATAAAGCAACTTTAAACTTCTAAAGCTAAATAACAATGAGTGAAATGTTGTATCGTATTACTTTTATCCTGCACATGAAATTCTATAAACTAATACTAACACGATGTTAAAAACCAGTATGAAGCATGTACACAGTATTTCTTCTATCTACAAGCAAGATTTTCATGCTTAAAACATCACAAGCAATAGTAAAAAGTATCAATCACAGATAGGCAAGGGAAATTTACAAAAACATACAAGTAAAAAGACACTAAGAATCAATGAAATAAGCTATTTCCACTCTTTTAAACTGTTTGCCAGAATGTTTTCTCATGGAAAGGAATACAGGCACTTTTTCAATGAGCACACAAGACACCACATTTAAGTGGTGGCATATAAAAGTTCATATTCACTTTCACTCTTAGATATCAAGTTTCCAATATTGCTAGTTACTAACAATATTTTGAAGAAATATTTCCTTCTATAGTTGTAGAAGTTGGGAATTACACTTCACTAGCTTTGCACTAATGCAGTGTGCTATAGAAGGTCAGGAGGCAAAAGTATTTCTACCTATGGAAGCAGTACGCAATTAAACATTGGCAAATAAAACACAGATTAGCTCACACACTTGTGAAGCATTTTTTCCACTATTCCCCAAAGCAAGGAGTAGGATTTGTCCCTTGAGAACATCCCACTAGCAGCACAGCATGCAGTACTGCCATTGTTCAAACACATCCTCTCCCACCTAGCACACCTGTTCTCTTGGAGGAAATTTAACCACACATTATTTTTCCCAGAAGTTTCTCTCAATATAAAGATAACCTGGAAAAGGAAAGAGCAATTCTTACAGAATGGTGGAACATCTGAGGTTGGAAGGGACCTCTGGAGATAAACTAGTCAAACCTCCCCCAATAAGAAGAGGGTCAACTAGAACAGGTTGCTCAGAGCCATGTGTTCAGTCAGGTTTTGAATGTCTCCAAGGATGGAGACTCCACAACCTCTCTGGGCAACCTCTACCAGTGTTTGACCATCCTTACCTTAAATAGTTTTTTTTCTTTCTTATGTTTAAATAGAATATTCTGTGTTGTGCGCATTGCCTCTTGTTCCTTCACTGGGCACCACTAAGAGTCTTGTTTCACCTTCTTTATTCCTCCCCATCAGGTATTCATACACATGGATAAGATGCCTACTGAACCTCCTCTAGGCTCAATAGTCCCAGCTCTCTCAACCTCTCCTTGTATGACAGATGGTCCAGTCTCTTCACCATTTTTGTGGCCATGCACTGGACCCTCTCCAGTAAGCCCATGTCTGTCTTGTACTGGGCAACCCAAAACCAGACACAGCACTCCAGTGTCTCACCAGTACTGAGCAGAGGTGAGCACCTTTGCCAGCCTGCTGGTGATTCTCAGCATACTGCAGCCCACGGTGCTGTTGGCCGCCTTTGCCACAAAGGCGCTCTGCTGGCTTATGGTCAACTTTGTGATCTCCAGGATCCCCAGGTCCTTTTCTGCCAAACTGTTTTCCAGGTGGACAGCCCCCAGCATGTACTGGTGCCTGGACTTATTCCTCCTCAGGAATATTGGCACTTCCCTTTGCTGTGCTGCCTGACATTCCCATTGACCCTTTTCTCCAGCCTCTGAAAGCAACACAACTACTTGACGTAGCAGCCACTCCCAAGTTTTGTATCATCTGCAAACTTGCCGAGGGTGTACTCTCTTCCACCTTCCAGGTCATTAACGAAGGTGCTAAACAACACTGGCACCAGTACAAACTCCTGGGGCACATCACTAGTGACTGGCCTCCAGCTGGACTTTGTGCCACTAATCACAATACTTCGAGCCCAGCACCTCAGTTTTTAGTCTACCTCACTGCTGACTCACCTAGTCCATACTTCCAAAACTCATCAGTCTATCTATGAGGATGTTACAGCAGACACTGCTGAAAGCCTTGTTAAAGCAAAGATAAACAATATCCACTTTGCCACTTGTCCACCAAGCTAGTCATTTCATTGTAGAATGCTATCAAGTTGGTCAAGCATGACTCACCCTTCATAAATCCAACCTGACCACTCCCCAAACCATCTTATCTTTAATACATTTGAATTTAATTTCCAGGGTTATTTGCTTTATTACCTCCTTTAAGGGTATTAAAGGGTATTTAAGGGAATTAAGGGGAGGCTGACCAGCCTGCAGATCCCATAGTCTCACTTGAAGGCAGAAGTTACACCTGACTTCTGAAGTCCTCAGCAACTTCCCTTGATTGCCATGACCTTTCAAAGACAGAGTGAGGGTGGCCAAAGAGAGTGACCTCACAACATCGGCCACTCCCTCAGCACTGGTGGGTGCATCCCATCAGAACCTACGGACTTGTGTATCTACAATTTGTTTAAGTGTTCCCTAACATGAGAGTCTTCCATGAAAACTAAGCCTTCATTGCTCCAGACTCTCCTACTGGTTCTCAGGAGCCTGGGATTTCTGAAAACAAACTCTAACAGTGAAGACAAAGGCAAAGGCAGCATTAGTATCTTGGTCTTCCCCATGTCCTTTGCTATCAGGTCTCCTGCTCCAGTCAGCAGCAGGCCCATGTTTTCTGTCACAATACATTTGCTGTTGACATACTTGAATGACAACAAGGAGACCTTTTACATGTTCTGCATCACACTCAGTTCCAGGTGGACTTTGGCTTTCCTAACCCCACCCCTACATGCTTAGTTTCTCCATATTCCTCCTGGGTGACCTGACCCTGCTTCCACCTCTTGCATACTTCCTTTCTACGTTTTGAGCTTTGTCATGAGCTCTGTGTTCATCCATGTACATCAGGACGGACTGTTCTCGAGCTTGGCGGAGGTGATCCTTGAAAGTCAACCAGCTTTCCCAGACACCTCTTCTCTCCAGGACCATGTGCCACAGGATTCTTCCAAGCTGAGGCGTGATCAGGCCAAAGTCTGCTCTTCTGAGGTGTAGGACTGTGAACATGCTATTTGCCTCATTTCCTTCTCTCAGGCTCCTGGACTCTACCATCTGACGGTCACTGTGGCAAAGGCTGCGTGACCTTCACAACACCGATCAGTTCTTCCTTGTTTGCAAGTCTGAGGTCCAGCAGAGCACCTCTCCTCATCAGGTCCTCAACCACCTGTGTTAGGAAACTGCCACTAAAGCACATAAAAAAATCTCCTGGATTGCTTGTGCCCTGCTCTGTTGCCTTTTCAGAAGATACTGGGGTAGTTAAGTATCGTATAGGACCAGTGCCTGGAAACCTGAGGATTCTTCCCTTTGTCTGAAGAAGGCCTTCTGTTTCACTTCTTCGTGATTAAGACTATCTATGGCAGACACCTACAACATCACACGAGTTGCTCTGCCCTCTAGTCTTAACCCATAAGCTCTCAGATGGTTCATTATTCATCCCATGACAGACTTCCATGCATCCCTGCTGCTCTCTCACTTAAGAGCAAGTCCCCCATCCTCATTATCCCAGCCAGCCAGTCCTCCTAAAGGGCCTGCATCCACCCATGGCAGCACTCCAATTGTATGAGCTATCCCATCACGTCTTTGTTATCCCAATGAAATCATAGCTCTGCAGCTTCATACAGCCCCCTGCTTTCCATTTTTTCCCCATGCTGCATGCATTAGTGTACAGGCAGGTCAGAGGAGCACCAAAGTGTGCCAATTTCCTAGAAAAGGTACAAAACCTTCCCCCCCATAATGCTGGCCTTATTATCTGTGTACAGGTATTTCCTTGTTCATGTTTATATGCTCATGTGGTCCTCTTTTGCCCTGTTTAGTTGTTTTCAAGGACTCCTTTCCACACCACCCTGCATCCTTTGCTTACCAACCCAACTCTCAATCTGTGAGACATCACCTCGTTACTCTCTCAGTCCTAGTCTAGAGCTTCCCATACCAGTTTGGCCAGCCTGTTGGCAAAGATGCTTTTGCCCCACTTGGTCAGGCAGATGCTGTCCATTCCTGGCAGTCCTCGAACCTCAGAGAGGGTCCTACGGTTACATGAGCCAAGTCCCTGCTGTCAACACCTACTATGCAACCAGCTGTTAACCTACAGCATCCACCACCCTTCGTCAACTTTCCCCCTCCTTACCAGCAATACCTTCCTTGGTCTTAAACATTGTACTAAGGAAAGTTCTTCTCTTTTCTCCCTTCAAGACTTTTCTTTCATTTAAATAAATCAGAAATTGTGTCAATACTGCTTTTATGAAAAATTATAGGAGATGAAATGTTATATGTGATGTCCAGTATCATCCTTAACATAACATGATTGAGGGAGATTAAGATAGCATAAATTACCTTTCAGCATTTGTAAACACTTTCAATATGTTACTACGCATCTCATAACAAAGTGTCAAATATCAGTTAGAAGTACTCATTACTTTTTTACCATTTGAAAT